AATACGTAGACTTCGTCTTTCTCCTGTGAAAAGACTAAACAGCAACGTGTATCAGATGTTGACTTAGGATTTTTGGCAAATCCTCAGCCATCAACGGATTTGATATGCCTTTACCGACTACCGTTTGAGTCGGGCTAGCATACAGATTGTCTAAATCCGTTCCGCATGCAACGTTGTGCTAAGAGAGTGAATTCTCTTAGACTTGGCGCTACGACTTCGAATACGTAGACTTCGCCATTGTCACGGGAATAGGCTACCCGGTAACGTGTGTTAGATGCTGACTTATCCCTACTTAGGCTTCGGGATAAAATAGCCCAGAATCGAACTCTGGTGTCTTCTTCTACGGAAAAAGACTAAACCGGCGACGCGTGTTAGGCGTCGGCATATCCTTTCTTAGGATTCAGGATGAAATTCCCCGTGCGTGTAAGGCATGGATTTTGGTGTTATTAATAATAACCTGCCACAATGTTGAATATGTGGGCAGGTGTTCTTTTTAACGGTTAAGAACTAACCGGTAGCGCGGGTTAAGCGCGGACTTATCCCTGCTTAGGTTTCGGGATAGAATACCCCAGAATCAAACTCTGGTGTCTTCTTCTTCGGAGAAAGACTAAACCGGTAGCGCGTGTTAGGCGCAGACTTATCCCTGCTTGGGATTCGTGATAAACTTCCTCGTGCGTATGACGCACGGACTTTAAAAGTTTGAAAAGTGGTGTCTTCTCTTGGGGCAAAGACGAACCCGATACGGGAGAGGAAGAATTTTATATCCTATCTCCCAAAGCTGAAGAGGAAGAATTTTATATTCTATCTCCAGTTGGAAAGGAGACTCGAGGTGGGATCTCCACCCCCAGAATCCGAAAAGGTGAAACTAAGAGTGAGATCTCCACTCCGAGTATCGAAAAGATTCGGATAACCCTAACTGTCGGAAGGTTTGATTACCGAACTAAAAATAAATTTCTCGTTTATCGAGAGTGAATTGTGGTTTTGGTCCTAACTGTAGGAAGGTTTGACCAAGCAGGAGTTTGAGATGACCCTAACTGTAGGAAGGTTTGATCACTCGATTTGAAAGTGGACCTCTCGTTCATTGGAGGAATCGAGAGGAGGTTTTGGTTGTGGTCCTAACCGTAGGAAGGTTTGACCAAGTGGAAGGTTTAAGACGATCCTAACTGTAGGAAGGTTTGATCGCTTGATTTGTGGACCTCTCGTTCATTGGGAGAATCGAGAGGGGATTTTGACTGTGGTCCTAACTGTAAGAAGGTTTGACCAATCGGGAATTTTATGTCCAGACTCTAACAGAGAGAGTGTTGAGTGCACAGACACAGTGAGAACTTGAATGGGAGTCCTTATTCATTACATTGCTGTGGTTTTGGGAACTTCCCGTTACATAAATCGTCCACCCCCAGTTTCCTCTGCGGAACTGGTTCGGACATTATTATCAGTTAACTAACCGGGTTATCCTTAAGAATATTAGCTTAATATTCTCCAGGAACTTCCCGTCAAAAGTGGGGAAACAGTTTAGACTCATATACCTATTGGAGTATCAGGGAGTAGTTTAACCTCTTATACCGGTCGGAGGATTGAGAAACAGTTTATACTCGTATACTCTTTGGAGTTTTGAGAAGCAGTTTATACTCTTATACTTATCGGAGTCTGCCATTCTCAATTGGCTTACCTCAGCGTTATGACGCCAGCTTCAACCAAGGTCTGAATGCTATTCTTGAGAGCAAAGCAATCCTTGGTGGGATGAACGACCCTCCTGTGGTATGCACAGTACTTTGGGTCCGTAGTGTTGTCAGCTTCCTCCTGATTTGTGATAGGTGGTAGCTTGATCTTGTTACCTTCAAGGAGGGATTCGAAGATGGCTGGAACGTCTTCGTCCTTGAAGGAATACTCTCTTTGGAGTCTCGGACCCGAAGTCTTTTGCTGCCTTCGGGATTGCTGTTGTGACGCTTGATTAGCACCACCAGTAGCTGCAGGTGTTTTGCCCTTACCACGAGAGGCGAAGTTTGAGTCCAGAGGATTAGCCGTCGGTAGGTTCCTCTCGGCCTTCTTCCTTCGGAGGAAACGTTCGGCTTGTTCACCGCGCACCTTCAGATCCTTCCAAGTGTCAGACGGTGCTGTTCCCATTGCTTCCAACACGTCCAACGCAAGGTTGTTGTGGCAAGTTTGGAGGATGAATTCCTCTGTGATCGGGTCCCGGCAATTCATCGCCTTGTTCCGGAACCTTTTGACGAAGGTGTCGACTAACTCCCCGTCCTTCTGCTTCTCATCGAGCAATGATCCGATAGATATCTCGGTGTCGTCGTCGAAGAAGTTGGCCAGGAACTTGGTCTCCATGTCATCCCAGCTGTTCACGTTTCCTGGCTTGAGGCGGCGGAAGCAGTTTATACTCTTATACTTGTCGGAGTCTTGCCGTTCTCAATTGGCTTACCCTAGCGTTATAACGCCGGCTTCAATCAGGATTTGGATGCTGTTCTTTAAAGTAAAGCACGCCTTGGTGGGATGAAGGATCCTCCTGTGATATACGCAGTACTTCGGATCCGCAGTATTGTCAGCTTCCTCCTGATTGACGATAGGTGGTAGCTTGATCTTGTTGTTTTCAAGGAGGGATTCGAAGATGGTTGGAACGTCTTCGTCCTTGAAGGAATACTCTTTTTGGAGTTTCGGTTCCGAAGTCTTTTGCTGCCTTCGGGATTGCTGTTGTGACCTTGATTGTTGAGGCGCCTTTTGTTGCTGCTGTTGCGGTTGCGCTTGCACCTCGAATGTTTGATTCGCGTCCACAGCATTCGCATGTGCTTTTCCCTTAGGGACAAAGTTATGTTGCGGGGCATTATTAGCTATTTGGCCCCTTTCCACCTTCTTCCTTTTAAGGAATCGCTCGGCTCGTTCTCCTCGCACCTTTAAATCCTTCCAGGTCTTTGGCGGTGCCATTCTCATAGCTTCGAGGATGTCCAATGAAAGGTTATTGTGACAAGTCTCGAGGATAAAGTCTTCACTGACCGGATCCCTGCAATTCATTGCTTTGTTTCGGAATCTCTTCACGAAGTTTTCGACTGTCTCACCATTTTTCTGCTTCTCGTCAAATAGTGTGCCGATTGAAATCTCGGTGTCGTCGTCGAATAAATTTGTCCGAAACATGTCCTCCATGTCGTCCCAACTGCTGATACTCCCCGGCTTGAGGCGACGATACCAATCGAAGGCTGCTCCGCGCAGAGTGCCGACGAATGACCGTACCATTAAAGGTTCATTCCCGGAGATTATTCCTAAGTGAGATTTAAAATATATCAAGTGTTGAGTAGGGGAACCCTTTCCATCAAACGGTATGAAGTTGATTAAATTGAACTTCGCCGGATATGGAATTGATTCCCACTCCCTTGGGTATGGATAGGGTATTCCGGACCTCTTCACTTATTGAGCATTCATCAACGCGTTGATTTTACTCTCCAAGTCCTTCATTTTCCTGTCTTCACTCATATCTGTTTTCGAGTGGCTTCGGGGAGAGGTAATGTGGTCTTCCTTCGCATTATCATCCGAGGGACCGCCTCCGATATTGTTGTTGACAGGAGGGATATTTATGTTGACATTATCCTCTTCCCGTTCATTCTCCTCTTGATTCGGATTATTGCGATGACTGGGTTCTCCTTGGTGAGTTGTCAGTGCCGCGATTTGCTGGTCATGCATCTCTCTCATCTGTTGCATAGCCATCTCCATCTCGAACTTGAAAGCTTCCTTCTGCTTAGTCAGGGCATCTTCAAGCATCTTGTTTACTCATCTCGAACTTGAAAGCTTCCTTCTGCTTAGTCAGGGCATCTTCAAGCATCTTGTTTACTTGTTCGGCACTGATCATAAGTGATTCGTAAGGCTGTCCCTGTTTGTGGGAAAATTTGCAAATAAGAAAATAAATGAAAGAACTGTATTTGAATTTTATTCTCTCTAA